CAAACAGACCAATGGAATTGAATAAAGAAGTAAGAACTTCTATATATGGAAATTTTATTTAGAACAGAACAAGTACTACAATAAATGGTTCTGGGATGACTGGTTATTCACAGGGGAGAAATGAAAGTAGATCTTTATTCACGGCATATACAAAGATCATTTTTGGATGGATTAAAGACTTAAATGTAAGAAAAAAAACAATACAAAGCTGAGGAGGAAATAATAGGAAGTTCTGGTAGCATAGTGGCTAAGGCACTTGACTGCTAACCAGAGGCTGGCGGTTCAAACCCACTAGCCACTCCTCGGAAGGAAGATGGGACAATCTACTTCCATAGTGATACTGCCTGGGAAACCCAAGGAGGGATTGCTATGAGTTGGGTCTGACTTGATGGCACATAACAACAACAACAACAACATCTTTATGACATGGAGCAAGGAATAATTACAAAACAAATGCAAATATTAAGAGGAAACATTACTAAATTCAACTGTATTAAAACTAAAACCTCTATTACATTGAAAAAATCCATAGATGGCCATGAGAAGTCTCAAATGGGAGAAATATTTGGGTTACATATAACTGACAAAGAAGTACTCAGAACATACAGTAACTTCTATATATAAGTAAGAGCTAAGTCACAACAAAATGTTTTATTTAAAGGAAATAAAAGACATTTTTCAGAAGAGAAAACACAAATATTCTATAAATATAGTAAAATATATCCTACCCTTTTAGTGATTTTTGTAACCAGGAAATGTGACTATGGTATGTTAAATTTATAGACAAAAATAAAATGTTCATTGACTTTTAAACAATTCTCTCTCTTTATATAAAACCCTTCCACTGAATGCACATTTCCTTCTAGTACTGCCCTATTTATATCTCTGTCTTTTCTCAAGCAGTCCTTTTGAAAAAAATTTCTATCCTTAAATGTTCATTTTCTCATCATCTACTTATTCCTTAATACTTCAGGCTGACTTCTGCCTTCAAAGTCCATTGAAATTTCCCTCTAAAGAGAGAAATGGCACTAATCATGTTAAATCCATTGGGAATCTTTCTTGACACCACAGCAAATATGATATTGTTTACCATTTTATTCTTGAAATGCTCTTCTCCTGACCATTATGTCATACTATGCCTATCTAGAATACTAGCATTGGATTCTTGTTATTTTACTTTTTTTTTTAAATAAACAAAACATTCTGTCCTTTTTCTTAGGAAGCTTTTCATAACAACTGAATAAAACTGCAGCCACATCAACAGCAATATTTCAGAGTTGTGTATTTTTTGGTTACTTTGTTCATAGTTCCTTCTTGTCTGGGATTATTTTTTTTTTTTCACTAGATTAGAATGTGTGAGAAAATAGTTTCTAAATTCTTGAATTTCTGAAAATAGTTTAATTTTTCCTTCACATTTAAATAAGGTTTTAAACTTAGAATGGAAATTTAATATTTTCCCCAAAGACTTCATAGACATTGCTCTATAGTTTCATAGTATTTTCTCTTACTGTCTAGTGTTTGTCTGTCATGTTGTTAATTTTCCTCATATCTGGTTAATTTTTATCTTCCACTTGTTTTATCAATAATGTTCCAGTATTAACAGTATCAGTAATTGATAATGTGGGTTTCCTCAGTAACTGAGAAAACCAATGCTCTCCTAGCTTTTAGTGGTTTAAATAATCGTAGAGTTCTGAAAACAATGAGTGGTTGTATTGAGATATGGCAACAACTGAGTTTCCTGTCAGTTCCAAGGCGGGAAGGGAGGTTTGGAGAATCTTGGAGTCTCTCTTGATAGTAGAAAGAAGAAATAATCCCAAAAGGAGTATGTTTTCCTGAACACCATTTACTAGGCTTTTTACAGCTGAGAAGATTTTCCTACACAAATGGATGCCAATTTGTTTTGGTATGTTTTCTGGAGGAGCTCTGGTAGCATAGTGCCTAAGGCACTTGACTGCTAACCAGAAGGCTGGAGGTTCAAATCCGCCAGCAACTCCTCAGAAGGAAGGTTGGGCGATCTACTTCTGTAGTGATACTGCCTTGGCAACCCAAGGAGGGGTGGCTATGAGTTGGGTCCGACTCAACAGCACATAACAACAACAACAACAACAACATGTTTTCTGGAGGATCTTTCCCCCTTTTGTTAGATCTGTACTTTCTTATTATTTAGTCCAGTGCTTCTTAAACTTCAGAATACAAAGGAATTACCTCGAGGGCTAGTTAAAACATAAATTACTAAATATTAGCATTTTTGATTCATTAGGCTGGGATGGGTGTTAAAATTTGCATTTCTAACAAATACGATTATTAGATAATGCTTGATGCTGTTGGTCGTGGATCACACTTTGTGATCCACTGATGAAGAGTTAGTGTAAAAGTGAAATCTTAGATTAACCTGGTTTTGTCTAGCTGTTAGTAATTGTTTTTCATGACTGAATACATTTAATAATATATTTTTTAAAATAATGTAATTCGAAACCTTTACACAGATATGATAGTGTGAGTTTAATTTTTATGGTAGATGCGATCATTTTAGCAGTATATTTTTAAGTGGTAAATATAGATATTTTGGATTATATGATTGCTTTTTGCATTCATTTCCTCTTGAAATCTCTTAGATTAGTTTTTTTTCAGTTTCCTTGAAAAATATTAAGTATTTGGATAACATTTTATATCTTGATTTTATAGGCCCTTTAGCAGGAGCACAGTTACATTGCAGTAGTGTTGGGAAAATATTATTTTTCATTATTGTACTCTGTTATATGGGGAAAAGATATCTTTTCCAAGAGGAATTTAAATTTTATATCTTCCTGTATTAAGAAAATCTATAAAATCATGTATGTGAATTATTTTGGGAACTCCTAACAGATATTTATAAGGATTGAAAAGTTAAAAAGTTTTATAACTGTTTAGAGACAGTGTTTTTACTCTATATTAAATATAAAAAATTATGGTTTTGAATTATAAGTTTTATTTTAGTAATTAGTGTATTTTTATGACTGAAAATTACAAAAGAACTGAAGTAAATATAATATCATAAATTGTGAAGGATTTTGTTTTTAAATATATTCTTAAATTTTATTTTCCAGATTTTGGAATCTCTTTTTAAGGTAAATTCAATATCCTACTAAAATTTAATATAGAAATACATATAAATGAAGAACAGGGTTCCAAGTGTTAGGGAAGAAGAAACTCCCAAACTTTCTGCTATGTTTAAAACAAAACAAAACAAAACAAAACCTAACCCACTGTTGTCAAGTGGATTCGGACTTATAGCAATCTTATAGTGCCTAAGGGATCTGACTGCTAACCACAAGGTTGGTGGTTCAAACTCAGCCACTCTGTGGAAGCCAGACTTGGCAATCTACTTCCTTAAAGATTTATTGCCTTGGAAACCCAATGGGGGTCACTATGAGTCAGAATCGACGTGATGGCAGTTGTTTTGGTTTGTTTATAGGAAAGAGTAGATTTGCCCCACAGTGTTTCCAAGGTTGTAATCTTGGACTGCCATATCCTTTTCCTGCAGAGTAGCTGGTAGGTTCAAACTGCTGACCTTTCGGTTAGTAGTCAAGTGTTTTAACCACTATGCCACAAAGGCATATAAAATTTTTATGTTCCAGTTGTTCATTGTATTAACCATCATTCTGAACCCCAGGATAAGTTGGTGTTTAGATGAGGACTAATATTTGATAGATGAAGATGCACAGTCACACATTTATTTCATGGTAGAAATTTAACTTGTCAATAACTAATATTTCTTTTTATTGTTTGAAAGTGGTTTCAGCAGCAGGTCAATCAGATGGAGGAGGTAAGTATAATATTTCTTAATTGTTAAATAAATTAAATTAATATTTTGACTCATTTGAAAAATAATTTGAAGTATCATAAGTTATCAAGTTTTGAATACCCATTGGTTATAAAGTAATCTTTTGATTTAGGTTTAGAAGGAATAAATGGGTAGAATAAAATGTTTCTTAGTGATTTACAAACTATTGCTGTTAGTTGCCATCGAGTCAGCTCTGACTCATGGCAGGCAAACTTGTGCATAACAGGGCAAAATGTTACCCCATCCTGTGCCATGTAAACTATATTCCTGTGCTTATCTGGTGTACTCTGAGTTCAAGTGACGTATTCTTTCTTCTAAAATTAAATAATGGAAATTGAATAATAATTATTTTTTGAATTTACATAAAAGAGTAAGTTATGACAGAATTTTATCAATTTAAATTTTTCTCTTGTGTTTAAAAAATCATACATAATATTGTATATGCTTAGTTATAACATTATATATTCATTTTGTTTAATATGTTATTTCAATGATATTTTATACTTTGGATTTTCAGGTACTTTGCCGGCAGTTTGAGAACCATTGGTCTCTGCCTTTAAGGGTTTTATATTCTATTTTGGAAAATACTAAAGTATTCTGTTAATACAGCAGAACAATTTCCAGGGTAGCTTTAATGATTTACAGAATTATTTTAGTTATTGCTTGGCCACTCTTGTGGTTCGGTCCAATTAAACACTCTTGAAATCAAGATAATTTGAAGAAAAAAGATCTATTTATTTTGGATATAAAATTAAATGTAGAAATTGTTCCTGTCTCCTAGAACATTCTCATTATTTTCCTTCTAGTCCTAAACTGGAATACTTTCATAGTCTTTATACTCTATGTTTTAAGATAGGTATGACTGACATTAGAAGAGTGTTAATAGTTTTTCTTTGACTGTGGCACACTGTCATATATTTCTAGAGATGTAGGATTAAGGTGAAATCCATTACTCATTTACCATCTTGTGAAATATGTATTTCTTTGCAACTTGTGTAATTCAGCTTGTCTTTTTGAATTCTTATTTTTTACTTACAATTTCTTTTTTCTTTCATTTTATATACGGATTTGTGTGGCTCTCTTCTTTTTATACCTAGTCCTGTCAGTGTGCCTGACCCATACACATCTCTGGCCTATTAGTTCCTTGACCTCTCATCTTCAAAGGTCTAGTGTCTTTCTTTACTTCAGATACCCTCCTTCAGTGACATTCTAGACCTTGCCATCAACAAAATTGCTTTATATTAAAAATCACTAATTCAAGGCATTCATTTTTGAACTACAAATTTCTGCCTTTCCAAGTAGCTAAGTATACTCTGAACACTTTTTGACTTTATCAAGAGCAGTTCATTTTTTTATTATTATTTATTCTATTTAGCTTGGAGACTATGTACTACATTGCAGCAAATTTCTGAACTTCCTAATCTCCCTTACCTCTTTGTTTTTTCATTGCATCTGTTTAACAAAACTTAACCCTGAATGAATACAATTATTTTTCTCTAGGCCTGTGGTTTAACAGTGAAGCACTGCTAAAGAAAGTGACACAATAGGTCAGACACAGTTGATCCAAATACTACCTGGCAACTTCTGAAATGAATTTCAACCCTTTTAACTACCACCGCAAACCTACTCTCTGTGTCCTGTTTTCCTCTTTACTCTTTGCCATTAATTTGGAATGCTTGAAATTTACCATTGCTTGGAACTCCACAAAAACTGACTTATGTCTGTATTCATACTATCTTCCTTTCCTCCTATAAAAACAGAGTTGCTGTTCCTGATCCTACATAAAACTAATTCTTCACAATTAGTTCCCATTCAATTATATCCTCCCTTTCAGTTTTTAAATATGCTCAAATGTCTCATTTGATACCACATTTTCCTCCAGCTAGAGGCCTATTTCTCTTTTTCAGTGGCATTACTGGGGTTGATGTCACCCAGAGTAGTAGCTCATGGTGTCACTGCCACCCTATGGACCTCTTCCCATACCAGACTATTCAGAATCCTTAGGAATGTTTATTATCAATTTTAGTCATAGAATGATATGTGATGTAGTTGTAAATTGCTTAAATGAAGTATGTCTTAGATTATATGAATACTAACAACAAAATTGTTTCATAAAATCTTTCTGCATTCAATTACATTATTAGTATGTTGTTTTTGTTGTTAAGTGCCATGGAGTCGGATCCAACTCATAGCGACCCCTCCTTGGGTTTCCAAGGCAGTATCATTACGGAAGTAGATTGCCCAACATTCCTTCCGAGGAGTGGCTGGTGGATATAGAAGCCTTATTTGATTTTCTGCCTTCTTTCTCTTTAATTACTTCTTTATCTCAAAAAATTTATTGATACAGGCTCACAAATAACAATTACAACAATATTGCAGCTGAAACACCAACAAACTTGACAAAATCTGTAACTATAACCCTCAGGCCCTGAATTACCCTCAGTACCTTTCCCACTGAAGGACTTGATCCCTCCTATGAATGAGAGGTGCAGTAGCAACCTCCCCTGCCCTCTCCTTAGCCCCTCTAGGCATTCATTGGCCCTTCTCAAAAGGACTCCCTCAAATACTGCCTCACTTATCTCCTTTGCTTGTAGAGCGGCAGCAGTGGCTGTGGTGGTAGGGATAGGACCAGCAAGAAGCCTTCTAGAGGGCTAGCTGCTTCAGCTCCAAGCCCGACAGGCATGAGTGGCTCCGTGGGCTGAGAGCTGGAGGCAGGGAGGAAACCCAAGTCAATGTGCAAAGCAATCAGATAGTAGATTTTTCACTATTTTCATAAATGTGAAGGAGCTCTGGTGCCGTAATGCCTAAGGTATTTGGTAACCAGAAGGCTGGTGGTTCAAACCCACCAGCCACTCCTTGGAAAGAAGATTGGGCAATTCCACTTCTGTAGTTCTGCCTCAGAAACCCAAGAAGGGGTCGCTTTGAGTCAGATCCACCTCTACAGCAGTGAGTTTGGTTTGATTTGGTTCATAAATGTGAAATGGCATAAAATGAGATAGATGATAAGTGAGCAATAGGTTTAAAGGCAAAAAACAAGATTTGTAAGAGTGAAAAACATTGCATTGCAGATAGTCTAGGAACAATGAAACTAGCTGATTAAAAAAAAAGTGTTATTCAACTGGTAAGGTAGCACATAGTTAAAAGATCAATTTGGACATTCTTTCCTAAGAAGGGAGGAATAGGAGTATCAAGTAAAACAATTTTGAGTTTCTCATGAATTTTCTATGAAACATTAGAAGTTTAGCTGTGGAGTATACATTACAGGTTTAGAGACAATTTTTTTGTAATCATTTACTATACACTATAGTCTTCCTTCTCGAGCATTTTCCAATCTACTCAGACTGGATTCTGTCTCTATAACAAAGAGAACATTCATTCTGTATGGTTCCCAGCAATTAGTAAGTTGCTAAATTGAACAGACATTATTCTTTATCTTAACCATAGTTTCGGAAGGAGGATGGGACAATCTGCTTCCATAGTGATACTGCCTCGGAAACCCAAGGAGGGATCACTATGAGTCGGGTCCGACTGGACGACACATAACAACAACAACACAACAAAAACCAGAGTTAACATTATTGATTACTTCTTCTTCTTCTTTTTTTTTTATTGTGATTTGGGTGAAAATTTACAGAGCGACTACACTTTCCATACAGCAGTTCACATACACTTTGTCTCATGACATTGACCACAATTTACCACAATGCAACATCTCCTCTTCTACTTCCTCCCGATAGTTACCTCTTTCCCATATCCATCCCTCCATGCACTCCTGCCCCCTGAACTGTCTCCTTATGCATAAGCAGCCCTTCTTTCTCCCATGCTTGTTCTCTCCAAGGAGTGTATCTACCTCAGGTATATGTTCAACTCATATGCCTGTCTATTGTTTGGCTGGAAGCCACAAGTGTGGGTTCAATTCCAGACCTGAAGGGCAGATAGGGGCCATAGTCTCAGTGGTTCCACTAGGCTCTATTGGACCAGCAAACCTGGTCCCCCCCCCTTTTTTTTTCAAATGATTTTGAGTTTTGTTCCACATTGTTCTCCCTCTCTATCCAGGATCTTCTACATAGATCCTCTTCCAAGTGGTTGACAGTAATAGCCAGGCACCATCTAGTTCTTCTGGTTTCATAATCGTATAGGCTGCAGATTGGATGGTGTACCAGTCACTAGGACTAATTCTTTCCATGAATTTTTGGTTTTCTTCATTCTTCTTTGCTCTGGATGAGGGAAGGCCCATTGTTGTGTCTAGATGGCATCGTGCAAGCTTTTAAGATCCCGGTCGCTTCTCACCACAGTAGGAGGAGGAGCAATGTTTTGTGTAGTATGTTATGCCAGTTGAGCTTGATGTCCTCTGGGACTATGGTCCCGAGCCCACAGGTTCTACTACTCAGTGCCTCTGGGTAGCTGGCTATGACCAAGCAGTGACTACAACCTTGCCCCTTGTCAGCTCTACTATACACCTGGGAATTCAGATCATAAACATAAAGTTATAGGACCATTGTCTGCCAACCCTATACTTGTTCTTGAGTACACTCCCCACTTCATAGACATACCTAATAGTTCAGCCAGTCCACCCATCTATCCACCCATATACTCATGTTTGCCTTCACTGACAATGCTGTACTATATGTGCAAAAAGATTCATCTTTGTTTTTCTGTACTTCCCACATACGTCTCTAGGTCTTTCTCTTCCTCAATGCCACTATATTGATCACTCACATTTGGTACATTGCCCTTCTCTTCACCCAAATCAAAATTTATCTCTATCCATCTAACAGTGCTCCCTACCCTACCCTCCCACCGCTGGTAACCAACAAAGAAAATGTCCTTCCAAAGATAAACCTTTCCTTGACTTTTACAATAATGGACTAATACAGTATTTGTCTTTTTTGTGATTGACTTATTTCACTCAGCATAATGTCCTCCAAGTTCATCCATTTTATATGATGTTTTGCAGATTCTACATTATTCTTTAGGGTTGC